TAGATAGATAGATAGATAGATAGATAGATAGATAGATAGATAGATAGATAGATAGATAGATAGATAGATAGATAGATAGATGAATAGTTAAAATCGGGAGTGTTTCCACAAAACCTTTTGTGTTTTCCGAACTCGGTTTTCAATCAACAAGAGTCCTATATCTATTTACATCTCTTATTGTTTATATGCAATACTCGTACAGATTGCTTGCTCTGCTCATGATTTGGGATCACTTGTGATCTTGGAGGTGTGCGGTAGTTGGAGGCGATCTGTCTGAGGTTTACCTTGTGTGCTCCGCATAAAATAAGGGTAGAGAAAACAATTCCCTTCCTATTGACCACAGTTGACCAGTTCGTGTACGTCAGATAGCTCTGTCAGCAACACGAGTGTAACGGACAGGTCAGTCCATAAACCAAGTTCCGGTGTCGCACGGCGATAACCGGCACGAATCAAATAATATTGGTGTGCCTTGTGTGTGTGTGAGTAGTGGTGGGGTGTATTTAAACTGGAATGTGTCGGTATTATCACACCTGTTTTGCGGTCGACCACAAGCAATGAGTGACAAGTGATACGGGTTGCTCCTACTCCCTGTCTGTTTACACGTTTGTGTCTGTGTGTGTGAGTGGGTGCGCATCGTTTCTCAGTGTGTCTGTCGCTCCCACCTCATTTCTTTCTCACGTCGTACAAAAGGCGAATGAAAGCAATTAAATTGAAACAATGACAGAGCTGTAATTTTCATTGGAACCGGTAAATGTGGGATCATTGCCTCCTGCACACCTGATTACACCCATCCACCCCACCTCCCACACACATATACACCAAGCACCACACTTTGATCATTCAACTAGGCGCGATTCGGGAAGCAATTAATATTCTGTTCGAGGTCGAATTGTGGCTTTCTGTGTGGGAACACATTTCAAAAATGTACAGCAAATAGTTCTCTCGTCATTTTTTTCATTTCTGTTTGCCAACTATTTTTTCCACTCTCACCCCGTCTGCCCCCCCCTCCCCACTGATATCTCCGCATGTGGACAGAACATTCGACTACCGCATTCGATCAATTTCTCAATCTGCTTGGTCGTCGTGTTCAGTTGCGAGATTATACCGGCTACAGTGCCGGTCTAGACACAAAAAGTGAGTGATTCGGGGATTGCGACACATTTGCATGTACACACACACACATAAAGTTCCCTGTTCAAATTCATTGCAGTGATTTCCTCGCACTGTTCCGAGACATTTAGACCGTGATGAAGATTACCGGTGCACAACGATGAAATTATGCTGTGTGGCAGACATCACTCCCACATTTTAAATTTGAAATGTGTTTAGTTGAGTTACAAACCCCTTCGTATGGACACTGCCTCCGAGATAAGAACAATAACAGATCAATTAACCCTGCCTGTCGAGGGAGTAGTCGGTTTACGTGTGGCCTGGTGGATTTCTTATATCTCTTCAATTGAATTGTGTATAACTTTTGAAAGCACTGATCCTTTCTTTTCAGTTAAAAGACCATACAGGCCAACCGTCACAATGTAAATATATTCAGCGTGGATAATATGTTTACAGATACGGGGACGTCTCATAATCCAAGGTGAAGACAAAGTTCATTTGCTACCCTTTCTTTGTTTGTGGGTCAACGAGCAAGATGTGGCTTACGTGGTTTTCGGTAAGCATCTATTAGAGATAAAATTTGGTGGAATTGGGAGCGCGTAGAGGATTGGGAAAGACGCGTCAGTTCTGCGTGCAATAGGTGGACAAGATCTGTGAAAACGCTTTCGGCAAATTTCACATAGGAAGTTATATGACTATGTGAAGGTTTTACAGCTAACTCATTCATAGGAATAGAAGAGACACGGCTAATAATGGTTAGACCGCGGCTTAAGACTTTGAAATCCTGTTTGAGTTAGCCAGGAAAATGACTGAAGAACGGCGGAGTAAGATAGGGAAAACCCACTGATAAACAAAGGTAGAAATAACTGACTGGGATGTGTGAAATTGCCTGAGCTTTCGTATTTGAAATGAAAAATGCAGCAGTTTAACAATGCATTTGAGAGTGTGCTTTGACCAATGAAGATTGCTAGCCATAGTTACACCAAGAGATTTGACAGAGTTCACCCTAGATAAAATGTTGTCATTTCTCGCTGTGGGGTCTGTTGGATATGAAGAGCGTGCAAAACTATATAAACGCTCAATAAACTTACTAGGGTTTTATGATAGCCCTAGGAAGGAGCAGAATGGTTGAATTCGATCAGGATTGTCGGTGAAGGAGTTTAGATCGGAGTAAGAAGAAACGGGTTCTCACAGCACAACAAAATCTGCAGATTTCCAAACACGTGCAGAAGAAACACAAGAAATAGCACAAATATAAGTGGAAAATAATTATGGGGATAGCACAGCTCCTTGAAGAATTCCGGAGTTGTGGACCAAGGGCGTAGATGAAACCTTCCCCAATATAGCAAAATAGTTGGATAGTCAAGCTAACAACTACTTGGGGCATTCAAACGATTCCAGTACTTTTAACAACTTAGATTGAGGAATAGAATCAAATACTGAAGAGTAGTCCAGAAAAACACCGAACAGACCTAACAGAGTTGTTCAAAGACTTAATGATAAAATGAATAATGTTGGAGACTGCGTTTAAGGTGCATCTATTAGGCTTGTAAGCAGACTGTAACCGATCACTGGTAATGTTTATAGACTACTGAAGGAGTTTGAGGCTGGACTTGTCAGTCAACTTAAAAGCTGAAGACGTTATTGCTATGGGACGAAAATGTTTGGAGAGGATAGAATATTTGGATGGTTTGGGGATTGGTATGATTGTGACTGATCTCTAGCATTCGGGGATGGTAGAAATGTTAAGAGATTATTTACAGTGAAGGTGATTGTCCCAGCTAGGGGAGCATTACTGGATTCGAAAAGGACTTCAAAAAGAAAAGCCGTATTTCGGGTCGGATTATTCTGACGAAAAAATATGCTGAGTTTTGTCTTCTGTTGTTCACGAAATGGATCACCCCTGTAATTTCTCTCGTCAATTGTGCTTCAGCCTAATTGGTACTGTTCACTGCAGCTGTGGCTCGATTATCGTGTGCTCGAATACCACTATCACCCACATACACTGTTGCAAATGTATGTGCCAAGGCAGACTTGGATCAATCGCAGTCTTCGTCTGAAATATCGATATCTTTATCGTTGACTCAAATCAGGTCAAGATTATCCGTATTAACCATTAACCGTAATTTGGTACACTGTGAATGTGTCCAGCCGGAATCGAACTCTATCAACGAGAGGAAAAGCGAGTAAATGATTTGAGGAAATGAAATGAAATGCATAATTCATTCCACTGAACTGGACCACTATTACACGTGGTCCACGATTTTCCCGTAAACCACTCGACCACGTACTGCAGAAACCGAGGTTCGTTCCTCCATCTAACCGAATTGTTTCCGGAATCATCATCATCATCATCATCATCTCCATCATCATCATCATCATCATCACCATCATCATCACCATCATCAACCATTGTACAGCGTAATACAGTGAAGTGAACTTCATTGATTGCTGACAAACTCATGTTGCATACAAGGTATGTGAGAATGTGTAAGGAGGATAGGCATGGGACTTACTTTTAGGGACGGGAAAAGAGAACGAATCTCCACGGTCA